AGTATAAACCTCACTTGCTAGGTGATCTGGCAGTGTTTCCTGGGTGGCAGTTGCAAAAACTGGGGCTCCATATGAGTGTATAAGCTCTTTTCTGGGAGACACCAGTGAGCTGAAGCAAGGCAGAGAGGGAGCACCAGGATGGTATCCACAGCCTACATTCCTTGAGGACAGCTCCATAGTCTACTATATGTATGCCAGACCTGAAGTGTGCCTCTTTGGCCAAAGCTACAGGACAAAGAAGCAAAGAATCTTTCTTTATAGAAGGACTAAGTAAGTGCCTCAGTCTGCTACCTGCATAGTGCCCTGGTGACGGCCACCTGCCGAGAACTCTCTTTCCAATTGCCACAGTCCTGTGGGACCCAGAGCCAGTGATCAAGGGGTGCTTCTGGGTGGCAGCTGCAAAAACCAGGTCATCAATTGGTAAAGCTTCCTTCCAGGAGACACTGGCACTCTGGAGTATGGCCAAGGGAGAGCATGAATGTAATGTCTGCCCTCCAAGGTCTGAGGAAAGGATTGTAGTCACACCTTGAATGTGTGTTTAATTAGAAAGCTACCCTTAAGTTAGAGCTATGATGATTAGCCATAAGTCTCGACAGAGGCCCTTGGGTCTCTTGCCTCTTGCTGTGTCCTGTGGGTGGGAGCTATTTAAAAATTCTTTTTTAGTTGGTTGCCCATGAGCATATACCCCACTGGCAGCCAGAGGCAGGCAATATGGAGTGTCCCCTGTTACCAACTGCCAGAATTGGGGCACTGGGCAAAGGTGTGAGCTCCTTTCTTAATGACACGATTATTACAGTCTTATGAGACCAGGAATGCAAGCTCCCCTAGTCTCCAGAGTCGAGCAATCAAGAGTCATTCCCTGGGCAGTGCTGCAAAGATGGGCCACCAGATGCATGTATATAAGCTCCCTCCTAGGAGATATTGGTGCTATGGAGCATGGCAAAGGGAGGGTGCAGAGATGGCTCATGCCGGTCTCTGTCTCCAGAGAGTATTCCAGCAGAGTCCTATGTGTGTACGTTAAATTAGATGCCTGCTCCTAAGGCCAGTGCTTTAATAAAAACAGGTCAGCCTCCTCTGAGCTGGGTCCTGGAAGAGGTAGGTCCAAGCTTAGAACATGAGCTCCATTGATTTTCAAAGTTAGATGTTTTGGAGACATCTCTCTAATGCAGGTCCTAAAAGTTGAGGTGCGTGATGTAGGCTTCTTGAGGAGAAGTTCTGGGTTTCAAGTTTTCCCCTGATGTTAGTCTCCATGCCGGGATGGATTTTATGATGAGATTGGGTCTCAGCCTCTGCTATCCTCTTCATTGTGGTTTTCTTCTCATTTGCATTATGTGTAGTCATGACTCAGTCCGTCTTTAGGGATTTTTTAAGCAGCATTGTTCCATGTGTAGCTAAGACTCAGTGTGTCCATAAGAAGAGGTATGTTCAGCCCTGGCTGGTATAGCTCAGTGGATTGAGTGTGGGACTGTGAACCAGACAATTGCGGTTCGATTCCCAGCCAGGGCACATGCCTAGGTTGCAGGCTGGTTCCCTGCAGGCCACTTCCCAGCAGAGGACGCACGAAAGGCAACCATACATTGATGTTTCTCTCCTTCCTTTCCCCTCTAAAGATAAATAAATAAAATATTAAAAAAAAAAAAAAAAGAAGAGGTATGTTCAGGTACTTCAGTTGCTATCTTGAACCAAACTGAAATTTGTGTTTTGAGCCATTGAGTTTTTGGTAATTTTACAACAGCAATAGGAAACTGAAACAGGAGGCAAAACTGCAAATTTAAAGTGTCAGTCTGCAGATTATCAAGGAAATGGTTATTACTGAAGTCAGTATATTGGTTCCTCTTTTGGGGAGGGAAAGGGTTATGATTAAGAAGAGCAACATTGGGGCTCCTAGGGTTCTGGCAGTATTTTATTTCTTTGAATGCTTATGTGTTTTATGCAGTCTTCTGAATACATGAAGTTACTATACATTGCTTTTAAAACCAGAAAAAGATTTTTAAGTATGAAACATACCCTTTTTTTAACTGAAGTTTTTTTTAAGGTAATTTTTTTCATTTTTTTATCATACTTCTTTGGCTGTAAAATTATTTCCCCCTTGGGGAACTATGGCAAAATTATCTTTTGTAGACCAATAGTATTTTGCAGTATTTTCCATAATATCATCTACGATCCAACTGACTAATTAGGCTCTTTCATGAATTTAGCATATAAAAAAATCACTCAGTTAACACAAAGAAGAAGTTACTTGTGTTTCCAAATTAAAATCAAAATACAGCTTAAATGGGAGAACTTATAAGAATTCTTAGAAACTCTGAGTTCAAAAGTAGATTTATGTCATAAATTAGCTGATTATTTTAAAATTAGGGAGTATTTATTTATTAAGATGCATTTAAGTTTAGTGTATACCTTGCTATCATTTTTCCTCTTCCTAGTATGGGCACAAAAAGAAGATGGATGTCATATGTTTCACTCATCTGAATTTTTAAGTAATTTAGCTTTATAATACAAGTATTAGGAAAAATGACTTTTTAAAAAATATTTTATTTATTTATTTTTTGAGAGGGGAAGGGAAGGAGAAAGAGTGGGAGAGAAATATCAATGTATGTTGCCTCTCATGCGTCCCCTGCTGGGAACTGGCCTGCAACCCAGGCATGTGCCCTGACTGGGAATCGAACCGCGATACTCTGGTTCGCAGGCCCGCGCTCAATCCACTGAGCTACGCCAGCCAGGGCAGGAAAAATGACTTTTAATAGTCCCTTCTTAAACTTAATTTGATGCCTAAAGTTGTCCTTTTTTAGTTAAATTTAAATATTTAAGGAACAGTTTACAACTGAAGTTAATTTCTTTCTTTTATTCAACTTTTAAAATTATACAAATAAAATTTAAATAGGAATTGATAAAATTCTCATTGTACTTTGTATTAAAGAAGTGATTTACAAAGTGATTTTGTAGGGAATTTTTATTTTAGTACTTAATGGTCTCTGTTACTGGGTTTTTTTCCTAATGGTGGCATTTTGGCATAATGATAGACTTTCTCAACTTCAGTTAGTCGCCATCACTTCAGAGTAAAGCAGCTCTGGAGCTCACAGGCTAGTGGGTCCTGTAGGGGTATATGAGTCCTGGATCTAGATAAAAACAGGAGGCCAAAGTCTATGGGGCAATTATTAAAACTTGAGTCCTCAGAAAGAGCTGTGCCTGGAGGAATGCAGCGACTGGAGGTGAAGGAAGTTGTTCCAGTGCATTGTAGAGGTTGCTTCCGTTATTTTGGTGTTAATTCTAGCAGTTTTGACCTGAGCTCTAAGGATGAGGCAGGATATGAAATAGCAATGGAAAATAATTCTCTTAAAGGAGCTTCATCAGCAAGAGAGAGGATTAACAAAGATTATATTTAGAACAAGTGTCTTCAGTAAACTAGAACTATTGGAAGAGGTGACAAGTTTAACAAGCAAAACAAAACAAATTATTAATTTGTGGAGAGGATGATTATTGTTGAGACTCAAATTCATGGTCTTGGTATATTATGTAGAAGAGTGAATCAAAACGGGAAAAAATATAAAGGAGAGGGAGCACATTGAAGAGATGTAACAACTAAAGATATAAACCAGGAGAATTTCTCTGATTTAAAGAAGGATTGAAAGAGCCTACTGAGTGTTCAAACTAGAGCGTTGGTGGTGGTTCAGAGACAAAGAATAAGCAGCTTATACACGAAAAGTGATCAGATATGTGCTGAGCTTCTCAGTGTGACACTGGAAACTAGAAGGCAGTAAAATAACATGTACATGTTACTGTGAAAAGAACTGTACCTCTTCCTAGCCACAATATCATTTACCTGCTATGGTGAAAGCAAGATATGCAGGAATAGGTCCTCTGTTAGATAGAGGGAAAGTTCTCAGTAAAGGATTCTCACCAAATAATTCCTAGCAAAGACTTTGAGGTAGGGCAGAAGAAGAGAGAAAACAGTAGTGAGCAGATGAGTTTCACAGTATATTTTATTAAATCTAAATGGGTAGTGATAGAGTGACTGTATTTCAGCCTATTTCTCTGTTCTTCGCATTTCCTGAAAGTTTGCAACTGATCCAAAAGCTTGATTAGACGAGGTCCTTGTCCCTTTAGCAGGACCATAAGTGATGTTCTATTCTTTTAGTGGGAGGCATATAACTTCTGATTGTTTCTTTGTAAAGATAACAGCCATTAATACTCAATTCTAGACCCAGTAATTTATTGAGGGTTGCAGAATGGTTATATTCCACCATTATTTTTCATTTACGGCTAAAACATACATAGATAAATCCCTTTTCTCTTTGGATACTCCGTGATACATATAAGGAATGCAAAATAAATGTTTGAATTTTTCCCTTTATCAGTTTACAAAATAATGAATTGGTTCTCTATTAGTTTTTGGGGGTGGAGAAGGGATGTGTAATTAAATGCTTGTATGATTCAGTATGTATGATAGTTTTCAATCTATTACAGTTATCTTTACTGAAGCTCAGATTGTCTCATTTTTGGCCAGTGGGAGCAAAGGTGGTTCATGAGTTCCTTCATATAACCCTGGTGATCTTGACTGGTAAAGAAAGGAACGGTATTTTTGGTTTGGTTTGGTTTTGCTTTGCTCTTTAAAAAAAATCTCAGGATGTTGTCTGTGCTTTTGTGAAGGCAGATTTTAGGGATCCATTTGTTTCCTTGGATACTTGGTACTTAGTATGATCTTTGAAGTAATTTGTAAGGCAGATATACCTTAGAATTTTGTGTTACTTGCAAAGAATAATGTTTTTATTTTGTATTATATGTGGAGACTCAACAGGAATCAGCATTTCCCAGCAATAGGTGTAGGGGCATGAGTTCAAGTGTTTTATTCAATTAATAAATATTTGAATATTTATTTGGGATCAATCCTTACAGTAGGAACTCTTGGTAATTCAAATATTCACAAAACCTGCCTGTTTAACATTTCAATATAATAAGTAGCAAGGATTGATTTTAAACTTAATTAATTTTTTTTTCAGATCTGTCACGAAATCGCCTCTCAGAAATTCCCATAGAAGCCTGTCACTTTGTTTCTCTTGAGAATCTCAACTTATATCAAAATTGTATTCGGTATATACCAGAGGCAATCCTAAACCTACAGGCTCTGACATTCTTAAATATTAGGTAAGACGTTGTTTCCTTTTTTTTAACATTTGGTTTTATATAGCCTTTTCAAATTTCTGTTGCCTTTTACTAAATTTTATATTACCTATTCATATCAGCAATTTCTGTACATGTTCTTAGGCTAAATTAACAGTATTTCCTGTGTCCCTCTAGTTTTTCCCTCTGTCTTTGAAATTGTGGATAAACTCTAATGGCCATTAGCCTAGTAGGCTTGCAGCAATCTTGTAGCAGTGGTTCTACAATGACATTTTCAGATAAGCTTCATCAGATCAGAATAGTAGACTTGTAATTACTTTGGTTCTTCTGATTATGTGTTTTTGTGTATTCAGTTCTGAATGTATAAACACATCGACTCATCTACTCCATTTTTTCATATCTTACAAGAATTCTGTTACTTTATTGTAAAAGTTATACATGACTTCCAACTAAGATGGAGGTGTAGGTCGATACACTTTGCCTCCTCGCACATCGAAAGGAAGGACAACAATAAAATTAAAAACAAAACAACCAAAATAGCCAGAACTCGAACTGTGTGAAAGTCCAGCAAGCAAGTAGTTAAAGAAGAAACATTCATCCAGACCTGTAGAAGGGGTGGAGACAGGCAGCTGGGGTGAAGAGGATGTGCAGCAAGGCAGCGGCTGGCAGACCAGGCAGTTCCACATTTACGTGCGGATAACCCAGGAGGAACAACTGGGGAGCAAGATGGACTGTACAACCCAGGGTTCCAGCTTGGGGAAAGAAAGCCTCAAAACCTCTGCCTGTAAAAATCGGTGGGGGTTGCGGCAGTGGGAGGAATTCCCAGTCTCACAGGAGAGTTTGTTGGAGAAACCCACAGGGTCGTAGAGCATACACAAGCCTACACACCTGGGAATCGGCACCAGAAGGGCTCAATTTGCTTGTGGGAAGCGAGGAAGCTGAGCAAGAGACATTGTTCCCTCTCCGACCCCTCCCCCACATATTGCTCCATAATGCAAGGAAGTAGGTGGCCCTGCCCTGGCAAATACCATAGAAAATAGATAGGGGGAGGTTAAGAATTGTATGGGAAATGGAGAAGCCAAAGAACTTACATGTATGCCCCATGGACATGAACTAAGGGAGGGATTACAGGAGAGTGGTATAGGAGATATAGGGCAGAGGGAAATAAAGGGGAGATTAAACGGGACAATTATAATAGCATAAGCAATAAAATATACTTTAAAAATAAAATAAAAGTTATGTTTGTTGAAGAAAACTAGCAAATTAAATATTCTTTTTTAAAAAATATATTTCATTGATTATGCTATTACAGTTTTCCCATTTCCCCCCTTCATTTTCCTCCACCCTGTACACCCTCTCCCACTCACATTCTTCCGCTTTAGTTTATTATCTTAAGGCAGTGCTGCAAAGATGGGCCACCAGATGCATGTATAAGCTCCCTCCTAGGAGATATTGGTGCTATGGAGCATGGCAAAGGGAGGGTGCAAAGATGGCTCATGCCAGTCTCTGTCTCCAGAGAGTATTCCAGCAGAGTCCTATGTGTGGGAGAATTTTTTAGCTTTTTTTAGCTTAAGTTTTTTAGCTTTTACATTTCCCATACAATTCTTGCCCTCCCCCTGTCTATTTTCTCCCCACCATCTATGCTAATTATTCTGTGTACCTTTTCCTTCTCTCTCCTCCTCCCACTCCCCTGTTGCTAACCCTCCATGTGATTGATCTCTATTTCTGTGGTTCTGTTCTTGTTCTAGTTGAGTCTTAGTTTGTTTTTGTTTTAGGTGTGGTTGTTAATAATTGTGAGTTTACTGTCATTTTACTATACCTATGAAATATCCTTTTGAAATATTTTTACATGTAACCATTTTATTGTGCAGTTGACATACTCATTTTGCTTTTCATTATATACTGTAATGATGATGTGGGAAGTAGATTACAAACATTTTTATGTTTATAACTCTTCTTTGGAAAGAAGAGAATGATAGTTATTCACCCTATTTTAAATCATTTTCTTATATAAATTTAACTCATTAAAATAATATGTTGAGCACTTTATTATTGACAAAGGTGTTTTATGGTAGAAAAGCCCTGTAAGATTAGGTAGAGGAGATGCTAAGATTCTCAATTTACAGAAGAGGAATCTGTGTAAGATGCAGATAGGTTAAATGTTGTGTCTAAAAATTAGAAAGTTGACAAGAAAGGAAATGTAGGCTAGAACTCATCTAAAATTCTGTTTGTTCCTTGTAAGACTTATGTTTGTTATTTTACTGAGTAGAGAATGGCAAAATGGAATTTTTTTTCTTAAGTAGTGAGCTCTGACTCTTCTCTTTTTTTACTTACCCGTTTTAGTCGGAACCAACTGTCAACACTGCCAGTACATTTGTGTAATTTGCCATTGAAAGTCTTAATTGCGAGTAATAACAAATTGGTCTCACTTCCAGAAGAACTTGGACATCTCAGACATTTAACAGAACTTGTAAGTTAATATTTTATGTTTTGACTGTCCCACATATACACGTCTATAGACATACCATAATCTTTTATGTGGTGAAGATCCATTACTAAGGTGTGTTTTGAGTTATTTTCAGGTATTCATAATGAAGTTTCACTGATGGACCAGTACTCAAGTGCTTTAGCATAGAATTATGAAACTGAAAGTACAAGTCTATCAGGCTCACATGGCATGGGCAAAGGTCATTAGAATTAGGTTCTCACTAGGATTAAGTGATTTCCATGTTACTGAACTTTTGAGGTATGAGTTAATGAGTCATTTGAACTTTTAAAATTAAATCTTGTTAATAACATCAATATTCTGATTTTTGGTTAACCCCTATAGGGAAATGGAGACTACAGAGGTCAGGCTTGTATTTTTCCCCTTATTTGCTATATACTCTGAAGTAAGCTAATTTTTACTGTCTTCTATTTCTAAGAATATTAACCTTCCCCTACCACTCCTTGTTACTCTTGAGTACTTAACGTTCTGAACATGGCAATAAGACTTTCCTCCTGTAGTCAGTCACCACAATAACATTGTTAATTGAGCACTGTAATTATCATCATATTACAACTGAGGAAACTAACACTCAGGTTGTTATTTGCCCAGGTTGCCATAACTGAATTGAAACCCCCACAATTTTCCTCCCTCTCTCCTCCCCCCTTCCTATAATAATAAAAAAAAAAAAGAAATTGAGACCCAGAGCCTGTGTTTCGTATTTCTGAAGTGCTCCAATATAATTATGTCCATTGAGATTTGGGAGTGTAGTTCCATGTAGGTTTATTGACAAAGATGAACATCATAAAAAATAAATACCGTACACATATAATCTAATTGGATCACTTATTAGCTGACTTTTTAAAGTAAATTATGAATATAAAAGGTAATGTAAAAATTCACAAATGCATTAAATCTAGATATTAGACCACTGTTTATTTAGTTAGAGTCAGTTAGATCTAGGAAGTAGTTCAAAAATTTATGTATGTTGGCATTTCTTCAGAGCTTGGGTTAATAACATGAGCTACTAGTAAATTATACTCACGATTCAAATTCTGATTTTCAAATTATTAAAATTTTCTGTTTCTACTTATTGAATCTTAAATACTTAAAAGATAGATATGTTTGCAAAAGGTGCTTTTTAGCGTTTTACAGAACAGGTGAATTGATAATCCTCAGTTATAAAAACAGTTTGTGGGAGAGTAACAATTAGTAATCCTAAAGCTTCTGGTTCCCACTTGACCAGCTTTCTGCAGTATCTTTATTACTTTTTTGGTGAAAGTAAACTACTATTTCAACATATATATTTTCTGAGAGAAATATTATAGATTGCTATTACCTTCTGGCTCAGGCTGAATTTTCCTACCCTTTTAATTTATTTTAAAACCCTTTGCCTTTGATGTCTAGAGCATTACACTAGGAGTCCAGCCTCTGATTCTGCTTTAGTTATTAATTGGTAGAAAAATAAAAAATAGGATTATTTTTTCTAAAAATATTTTGGGAAAATTTTAAAATAATGTTTGAAGCTTATTGAATTTTTTGATAAAGCTATCTTTTCTAATAGTAGGTCTATTGATATTTTCTTTTTACTTCTATATTGGAGGAATTTTAAGTGTTAATATGACACCTTGACACTTGTAATAACCTTAGGCAGCTTCCTGCTGCTGCACATAGGTTTACAAATCATTCTGATTGGTCTCAGAATGATGTCATCCTAGACACACTGGGGTTGGAACCTAAAGTCAGTCTCTTTTCAAAACTAGTGGAATTTCAGAGTCAAGCTATTACCAAGAATGCCTGTCTAATATGTCTTGGAATCGGTTAGATCAGATGCTAATAAAAGTTTCTATTTTTCCATACCTTTTTATGTGTAGTTTATTATTTTCTCCTCACTTTCAGATTGATAAAGAATGATTTATCTTCAGTGCATTTTTATGTTATATTTTTGAACAGTTGAATATGTATTTTGAAAATAGGATATTCTTTAAAATAATTTTATAATAACTTTTATTATTTTTTCTTTTAGTTTCTTTGGAACAAAATAAAATAAAAATATTGTCCTAAATAGATGTTTTTATATTTTTCCTATTTTTCTTTTTATCAACATTTTTATTTGATCTGATATTCTGTGTATTCTATGTGCCACTTAAGTCATTTAATTTTAATTCTCATAAAATTAATGTAGATATACATGAAATGTATAGAATTAGTCAAAAGTCTGTGCATTTTTATAATTTAGTGCCACTACAAACTATGGAATTATTCTTGGACATGGTCATAATGTTTTTATAACTAGGAGGAACTGCAAGTATTCAGTTTATCAATAATTATCTTGTTCCAACTTCATTTTATAGATAGTTTAAAGCATGCTGGTTCGGAATTTTAGAATAATTTTTTACTTCGTATCTTTTTGAAATAGGATGTAAGCTGCAATGAAATTCAAACAATACCTTCCCAAATTGGTAATTTGGAGGCCTTAAGAGACCTTAACGTAAGAAGAAATCACTTAGTACGTTTGCCTGAAGGTAAGAAATTGGGAGATAATTGTTTTATTATTATTTGACTTTTCATTTTAAATATCTCTCCAAAGAAGACAAAAAATGTATAGAGTTACAGCCGACGTTTGAAAGTTAATGGTCTGTTTAATATTATCTCTTCCATTGTGAATTTTAAAAGTTAGACTCTTCAATGAAAGATTCCAATAACTGTTGACAACTGATTGTATTTTTGAACCCTGTCAACTGATGTATTGATAATTCAGGGTCCGATCTCTGGAGATTTAGTAAGCATAACTACTCAGGAGACATATAACATATTTTAGGTGAGGAGATAGTTTCATATAATGAAAAACATTCCTACAATTAGCTCTGACTTAAAAGTGGATTGGTTTGAACCTGATAACTCTATCCTTCACTGAAAATGTTCAAATAGAAGCTAAATGACCATTTATTGGTGATGAACAGAGTGAGAGACTAGAGTAGGAGACTGGTTATCTTGGGCTCTAAGCTCTGTTATTTGAATGATAAAAATGATTAAACAAGTTAATTAAGTATAATTAGCAATTTTTTAAAAATACAAATTTATGAGAGAAAAAGCTATAAAAGAAAGTGAAAATAAGAACTGTTATTTGATTAGATCAGTTATTTCTTTAATTTTATTATGGAAAATTTCTCATTCGTAAGTGAGAGCACTGAATCACCCAGCTACAACAGTCATCAGCTCATGGCAACTCCTGCTTCATCCACACTCCCATCCACTCTCCCTTACCCTGTCTTCTAGATTAATTTGAAACAACTTACAGAAATTCATCTGCAGACATTTCAGAATGTGTATCAGAAAGATGAGGAATATTTGAAAGGTATTTTCATGACATTGATTCTCTAGGTTCTTTGACAAAACATGACTTCTGTTATATACTAAATATCATGACACTTTTATTTTACTGTTGAATCCAAATATTTATACCAGTTTGATTCAGTATGATATTTACTGGATATTAAATATTTAGTTCTAACATACCAGTGTAGCTTTGTCATTTTGGATCCAAAGCAAGATCTCAGAAAGTGACTTTTCCAATCCACTTTAATACACTCACTGCAACCACACTCCCCTAAATCCTGCATTTCTTTTCTCTCAGCTAGGCTTGTTCAGTTACCCTGCACCTTGTATCTTCAGAGCCTTCCTTAGTTTTTACTGTTTCTGCCTTCTGTCACCTCAGGAACGTGAATGAAGGCCTCAACAGAACTGACCAAAATCGTAATACCTGTATTACATAATACCTGTCTTATATGCCCATATTTTTATTTAGGATTGCCCTTCTTCTCAGGGCCCACCTACTATGGTTGATCTTTAGTCTTACTAATGTGATAATACTGACTTGATGTGAAATCATTTAAATGAAACATTGGGGTTTTGGTGAAAATGAAAATTTGGGATTTCAGATGACACTGCAGTCTAATAGTTTTGTCATCTAATATGTTCCTATATCATATTTTGAATGTGCATTACCAAGAAAATTGTGAAATTACCAAATAGTCTTAAATGTTTTTTTTAAAGATTAATTTGGGGTAAGGGGCAGATAGACACATTGATTTGTTATTCTACCTATTTGTGCATTCATTGGTTGCTTCTTTTATGTGTCCTGATCAGTGATGAACACGGAGCCTTAAGATATAGGGATGATGCCATCACTAACCTACCCAGCCAGGGCTCAGATGGTTTTTTAAAATCAGTTTATCTGGTAATCTCATCATATTCAGTTAAATGGAGATAGCAGGAAAGCTTTATTCCAACAGCTGCACAAGTTAGAGTGGAAGTTCATGTTAATTAATTCAACATTTATAATTCAGCACATAAAAGATTGCATCCTTTGTTATATTGCCATTTGATTTTAAATTAATTATAATGTTTTTCAAATAATATATCATCCAAAAAGCAGATAGTATTAAAAAGCTTAAAATAAGAAATAGCATTTCCCCCACCTCAACTATCCCCCTCCTCAATTTCAGTGGCCAGAAGCGTCTACTTCCAATTCCTTTGACACTTTCTTCTGGTATTTGTTGACATATTTCTAATGAACAATGATGCTTTCACATCATTATTGCTGAGTTTATCAACTTTTTGACACTTTATGTCTGTTTTCTTTAACAGTAGATAAGGATTAAACTTCCTTACATTACCAACATCATACCTCAACTTCCCTCTTCACATCTTTCCAGTGTAATTTTATTACACCTTTTGATTAAATTGTTATTCATTGTTTACATTATTATAGCTATACAAATATTGTTCCCTGCAAATTAATGTACTCTGATTTCATTTTCTTCCCTGTACATCTTGTTTTTGTTGGTTTTTTTTCTGGAGTTAATAATTTTTGTTTTTTTTTAATTTGCTTGGTTTGTGTTTTTTAAGTACCTATGGTTTATTCTTCCTTTTTTTCTGAGCAGCCTTATTAGTCAAACTAATCAGATCACCTATCACCTTTATATTCCCTGCATGCCTCCCTCATTGATCCTTTTTTCTTTCTCTTTTAGTCTGGGCTACTTGTCCTGTTATTGCTGCCCAACTTTCTTTGTTCTATATTGAATACTCTTATTCCTGGGCTCCATGTCTTTCTCTTTCCTACTTTTTAAAAAAGTTTAAGCTTTATTGAGGTGTAATTGACAAATAACTCCTCTTTCTTACCTTACTCCCTCATTTTGCTAGAGAACGTCTTCTAGTAGGAAAACATTTTTTTGATACTTCACTTGAAATATCTTTATTCTATGCTCACTCATGATGAATAATTTATTGTATATTTTAGGTTGAAAATTATATTCTTTCAGGATTTTTTAGTCTCTTTTCACTTGCAGCTTTTACTGTTAAAAATTAATGTTTGAAAATCTGAGGCCATTCCTCAGGAATCTTGTGTTTTTCTCCTTTGATTGTGTATGCGCTGCCTCCACCGCTCCCCCCAGGGGTGGGGGTGAGGAGGGCCGCAGGGCCCTGCCTGCTCCACTTTTTCTACCTTGGAACTATAACATAAAAATCATACGTTTGTTCAGTTTTTTAAGAAAAATTAAAAGAAAATTTGATGTTATTTATAATTCCAGTCCATTTTTTGTGACCCATTTTTTCTTACAAAAGATTTTAAGATCTTCCTTTTTTTTTATGATGATGTGCTTTTTGTTTTTTTGTTTTGCTTTTTGTTTTATTAGAGAGAGGGGCAGAAAGGGGGAAGGAGAGGGAGAGAAATGTCAATGTGTGAGAGAAATATCAATTGGTTGCCTCTTGCACTCCAACAAGGGACCTGACCTGCAACCCAGGCATGTGACTAGGAATCAAGCCAGTGACCTTTTGCCCTTTGGGTCAATGCCCAACTCACTTACCCATACCAGTGAAGGCATGAGTCATTTTTTATTTTGTTTTTCAAAGATTTTATTTATTTATTTTTAGGGAGAGTGGAAGGGAGGAAGAAGGAGAGGGAGAGAAGTATCGATACGTGAGAGAAACATAGATTGGTTGCCTTTCGCAGGCACCCTAATGGGTCACCGGGCCCACAATTCAGGCATGTTTCTTTACCATGAATCAAACCTGCAGCCTTTTGCTTTGCTAGACAGCACTCAACCAGCTGAGCAATGTGCGGTCAGGGCAGTATGAGTCGTTTTAATTCAATGTACTAGATCCTTGGTGGGTCTCTTTCCAAATCAGATATTCACATTCTTCATTCTGGAAATTTGTCTTACATTTCTCTTTTTTAAGTACTTTTTTATACTTTAAATTATCATACAGTAACAATGATTTCTTGAGTGGGAATAATGCAGTTCTATGAATTTTAACTCATTTTTTATGCAATCACCACCACCACCACAATCAGGATACCTAAGGTATTCTGTCACTTCAAAACAAACTCCCTTCATAACTACACCCACCCCTTACGTCTTACCTCTGGCAACTGCTGATCTGTTCTTCATATTTATAGCTTGTCTTTTCTAAAATATTAGATAAATGGAATTACATATGCATCTTCCAGTTGACTTCTTCCACCTAATTTAGAACTTCCCCATGTTTGATGTTTCATTTTCCAGAAAATTTTCTTTCTCCCATACACCTGAAATTGAGCACTAATACCTTTCAGATGATCATATATAGTCATGTTAAACTTCCCAGTTATAAGGAAATTAATAAAATTTCTTGAAGGGTTTTCCCCAGGAGTGAAAAGTGAGATAGGTTGCAGGCTCCTGGTAGTCAGATCTCAGTTTTAATGGGTCTTGGTTCTGTTCCTGGAGGACATTCAAATGTTTATTCATGTGTTTTAATGATAGAGGAGGTATGGGAGCCATTCTGCCAAAAAGGTCTCGTACCTTTCCTGCTGAATTATGTCACTGAAATCTGAAGTGATTTTGTTTCATGTTATAAGTCACACATGTTGTCTTCCTAGGGAATGAAGAAAAAATGTGTAGAATATGGTAGTTTCCATGCATCTTTCTTTTGCAGTGTACTTAGTAATATTGTCAGTTCCTCCAGCAACAGGTTTTGACTTGAGTTCTTCAATTTCTTTATCCAATACTGTACATTTTAATTTAGCTTTCTGTATTGGCATCATTTACTTCTTGGCAAACTTGATAATATTTTCCTGGGGCAAAGTTCCAGCCTTTTACTCTTCACGAAGTCTATAGGTCAAGCCTTCTCTCTGCCTTAGATTTCACAGTTCTAGAGGTGGCTGTTGAAGCCACCCCATCTTGGACAGGATCATCCCTTCAAGCTGCAGCCTGACAGCTGAGCAGTCACTGTGACCACACGGGCCCCACAGCCTGGCGGCTGCCACCTTCATATCTCTGACTATGGGCCACCTTTTCTTATATATATATATTTTTTTTTTTTTTATGGTTTTCTGTCTTCTTTTTCATTTGTTCTCTCTTTCTGGATTTTTTATGGGTTGGAAGTTGTAGCACTTTAATTGATCCTGTGATTTTTCTTATCTTTTTTTGTTTATTTCTTTGTCATTTTCTTTTACAAAGTGGTATACAGTCTGACCATTCACCTGAATTTTTAATTTCTGCCATCATATTTTTCATTTCCACTAATGCTTATCATTGTGATTTTTTAACCTTTCTTCTTTTAGTGACTCAGTATCTTATCTCTCTGAAATTAGAGTTATTAGTTCCAGGTTTTCAAACTCTTCTGTTTCCTATATATTACCTGTTTCTTCTGAGTTCCTCTTTTCAACTGGTTTCTGTGTTTTGATTTCTGTCTTCCACGTTGGAGGTTTTTCTAGATGTCTGTGGATCGTAAATTGTCAGTATAGAACCAGTTAGAAGTTTCAAGCATACTGGGTAGAAATTGTGTAATTCTAATAAAGCAGCAAGGTGGCTACGTCAGGCAGGGTGGGGACTGCATATGATCTGAAGGTCTTTTATATTGGACTATAGAGATTCTCCAGAGAGTGATTTATTTCTTCTACCTTGTTGTGTATATTCCTAATTTTCGGCATTCAAGAGCTGGGGTGGGGATGGGGCTGGGTAGGAAGGTACTAAGGTCTTTCCATTAAGTGTGTAGACTTTCACTTAAATTTTCTATTTTAACTAGCAACTCATGCTGACTTGCCATTTTGCCTGGAGTCCTTGAGTTCAGAGCCTTTCAATTTAGTTGCACTAGGGAATAAATTGTTGACTTCTGCGGTGATTGAAGACCAATAGGATCCTAGTTGTGAGGAGTAAAACAGCTTGCTTTTCATTAGATTTTTCTGTCTGTAAGCATCTAAATTTCTTTTTATACTACCTTGCTGTATCATTTAATTACTATGAAAGAGTAGAAGTAAATACTTATGTTAAATTCACTAACTAAAGGCTTCTGTTAAAATTGTCTCATTTTGGAATATTAATTGTTGATTTCCATTTCATGTCTTTGCAGAGCTGGCAGAATTGCCTTTAATACGTTTAGACTTCTCCTGCAATAAAATTACAACAATCCCTGTTTGTTATCGGAACCTAAGGCACCTACAGATGATTGCCCTAGATAACAATCCATTACAGTCTCCTCCTGCACAGGTAAACCATCATCGATCTGAAGTATGTTATGAACTTTTTTGGCAAGGGATGAAACTTTAAATTTAAATTATACACATTTATCTTTTTGTTGGAAATTAAGTTGTTTTTTTAATAAATTCACACACGTAGGCATTCATTAGAAGCCTTGACCAAACAGTGGAAGATAGTTTCCAGAGTGCTTTTTCTTTCATGAAATTGACATTTAAAAAAAATTGTAGGATTCTTCCTTGAAGTTTTTTCTAGCTTCCTATATCTCCTCTATCATTAAAACACATGAATAAACATTTGAATGTCCCTGAGGAGCAGAACCAAGACCCATTAAAACTGAGATCTGACTACCAAGAGCCTGCAACCTATCTTACTTTTCACTCCTGGGGAAAACCATTCAAGGTATTTTCTAAATGAGTACATTTTTTTCTGATAAAACTTGATTGTAGACAATGTAATTGCTAGAGACAAATAAAAATACTTAGCTTTCAAAACTAAAGATTACTAGTACATTTCTTCCATTATTTTTGTACCTTCTCATTTTTTAAAATCTCAAGTTCCTATTTTATTTAATTTGGTCATTTGTTTAGCAGTGACTGAAATAAATCTATTTAATAAGTATTTATGAGGTAGTGTTACATATAGATTCTAGATATTATACAATCTAAAAAATAGGTCCAGGCTGTACCTCTTTTACTCTTCAGAAATCAATTGATGGCACAAGCCTCTGTATGGCAGTTATAACTTTATGAGTAAACCTCATCACTATACAAGGTTCTCATAATCCTTAAGTATTTATGTTTTGACTTCTGGAACATACATCAACATGTAGCAACAAAAATATCTGTAGCTTTAACATTTAAACATTTCCTGCTTTTCTCTCTGGCAGAAATTAGGATTGAAAACATAATTGTACATGATTGTTGAATTCCTAAAAGCAAAAGTTGCTAATATAGGGTGGGGTGGGGAAAGTGGAATTAAAGTGATCAAATAAATAAATAAAATTTTTAAAAAGGAAAAAAGTTGCTAATATAATCCATGTGGATGCAGTGCTTTAAATTTTTGGCTATGCCTAAGTAATCAGTGTGATAAATTTATTTGATGTTCTCTTTTTAATCATAAATTATTTTATGTGTTACTGAAACTTAGTGTCTATAAAATAAAGCCTACATTTATATCACTTAAATAGCTAAAATAACAAATAATATAATTTGTTAAATGAGTATTAGATTTTTTATATTACTGTATGTACTTAGTAGAAATGCCTTCTATTTCCAATTTTAAGTAAAAAGCTGATTGTGATTAAAAAGGGACACATTTCAGATGAGTAATAATTTATGTGTTACTTTATTTAGATATGTATAAAAGGCAAAGTCCACATATTTAAGTACCTGAACATACAGGCTTGTAAGATTGCTCCAGATCTGCCAGATTATGACAGGAGACCCTTGGGTTTTGGCTCCTGGTGAGTACGTTCTATTGTTTGTTTGTTTGCTTATCATATTCCAGCTCACAAGAAATCAAATACATTAGACCCTTATATCTGCCTGAAGATTTTACTAAAGGGAAATAGCCTATTTTGACAGTATGTTTCTCAGAAACCTCGTATTAAGTAAAATGTTGATGACTTAGATGTGGAAAAGTGTAATTCTAATCGGCGTTTCTCAGCCTCGACGCTGCTTGTTATTTTGGACCTGGTAATTCTCTGTTGTGAGGAGTTGTCCTGTACATGGGAGATATTTAGCAGCATCCCTGCCTTCTATTGCACTCTCCCAGTAAGACAAACAAAAATACTAATATCTCCAGACACTGCCAAGTATCCTCTGGGGAGTTCTGCAGTCGAAAACCACTGGTCTGGTTGACGTGGATGCTGATCTTGGCTCTGCTGTTAACTAGGAAACTCTGCTTCATTTTTCCCATAGAGGGTGAGGAGGTTAGATTGGATGACTCTTGATGTCATTTTGGGATCCTTTTGGCTGTGAGTTCCTCAACTCTGTAACACTTGACTTATAAGGTTATCTACTTGGCATCCCCAGCCATCCGGAATAATCTTAAATAGCAGTAATTAAACTCAAAAGGCTTTAAACAGGCAAAATTGATGTCTCAGTGAAGGTGAAATAACACTCATAGACCTTACCCAAAGGAGAACCTCTACGAACTTCCCTTACATCCTGTCACATTTCCCACAAAAGCACAGTCCTAATGAGCTTGCTTCTTGTTATCTTAACAAATTAATGTTTTAGTAGAATTTGGCAGGGATATGAAAAGTATAAAAAGTAATCTGAGGGAAAAAATAAAACTGTAAACAGAAGATATATATTAAGTGAAAAATTCAAGTTATTGGTTATCTCTGAGAGGAAGGAAGATTCAGTGTGAAAGGTGTTGAGGAGTCTTTAAAGGTATTAATAATGTCTTATGTTTTAAAAGCTATGTCTGTTATATTCTTTTGTATCTCTGATACATTTCATAATTTTAATAAGATACTTGAAAACAGTGAAGCTATAAAACCAGAAATTTGGTACCATTTGGAATATTTGCAAAGAACCTTCCATATTTTAAGTTATTACTACATTTTAGCACAGTATAATAATTCATGCACATTAGGAGAACACTGCCCTGGCTGGTGTGGCTCAGTGGGTAGAATGCCAGCTTGCGAACCAAAGGGTCACTGGTTCGATTCCCAGTGTAGGGCACATGCCTGGGTTGTGGGTTGGGTCCCTGGTTGGGGGGTCGCACGTAAGAGACAACCACACATTGATGTTTCTCTCCCTCTCTTTCTCCTTCCCTTCCCCTCTCTCTAAAAATGAATAAATAAAAATTTTAAAAACAACATGCGAACATTTATTAAGGTGTATCACTTGCACTAAAGAGAAATATGCCTTAAAAGTTTATTTAACCAGAAATTACTAGAATTAAATATTTAAATATTTATGGTATAAAGAGGTAATCTCAGGCTATTTGAAAATTATACTTACATAGAACATGATTTCTCAAGTATGTTGAGTGTTTCTCCAAAGGGGTTTGATTTCTGTGCTTTGCCACAGACTGTGCCTTTCTTGCTCATCCCTAGCACAGCCACATGTTTGGCACACACAGGGGATACTTGGCGATATTTATTGAGTGAGTGAACAGTCAGTTTGGTTGCGTAAATGTTAATTCCCTCCCAGCTTTCCTCTCCTTTAAAGTTATCAGAAACAACTTGGTGATGACATTCTGAGTTTTTTAGTATAGTTATTAGATTGAATTTGCTTACACACTATAAAGGATATTTAAAACACCCACTCTAATGTGGTTGTAAAAGCATACGGTAATACAGGTTTTAGTATTTATACAAATACAAAAGGAATCATTAAAACCACAACAAAATGGACTTCTGGTCAAGATGGTGACATCGGTACACATGGCTCACCTCCCTGCACAACCACATCAAAACTAAAACTAAACTGTAGAATAGCTGTCATTCAGAGCGATCACAAATGGAGTTGAATGGAAGTCTGAAAACTACAGAATTAAAGAAACCAAGTCCATCCAGATTGGTAGGAGGGGCAAAGACCCCAAACAGGCTGGTCCCAAATCCACGTGTGGTGTATAAAAATATGGGAGGGATATCTCAGGAGCAAGGAGTTCTAGGCCCATACCAGGCACCCAGCCCAACGTTCCATTGCCAGGAAGATAAGTCCCCATAACTTCTGACTGCAAAAATCAGCATGGGTTGACTCAGTGGAAGAAACTTCTGTGTCCCAAGCAGTTCCTCTTAACCAACCCACACACGAGTCTTAACCAGCCCACAATGAGTCTGAATGAGACTTATTCAGACTCATTATCTCTGAGCTCCAGCACCAAGGTAGCAATTTGAATGGCACCTGTGCTGTACAAGGAGAAACTCAAGTGTGTGGTATCAAGACAAGAACTGGGGGAGAGAAAGGCCAGCAGAGGGCCATTGTCCCTTTTCTGAGCCCTCCACCGCCACACAGAGCCACAGAACTAATAGGTAGGTGCCATATCTGAGACTCCATCAACCTGGCTAACACTGTTTGCCCTGCCCTGAAGATCCCCTGAGACTCTGTCCCACCCAACGTACAGGGCAACCCAAACTGTTCATCTTGACTTTTCCATGTGAATGGCTGGTCTTGGCTCAAGCTTCACAATTCCCCTAAGGCCTAATCAAATAAGCAACAGCAGGTCTCAGTGAGCTCCCAGCACCCTTACCTCTTGCTAAGTGGCCCCAGGCTTAGTACCAGCAGCAGCTATCCTAGATTCATAGCTTGACTTCACCTGGGAGTGCAGCTCAGGTAGTTGCCATGTCAGGTTGCCTTATAGTTCATGCAGGGTGGCCCTGGGCAGAACACAGGTAGGGGCTGAACTTGGCCTGCACAACCCAGAAAACCCTAGAGCCTTTGTACCCAGTGGACAGATTACCATCATCCTGCCCCTGCCCAGCTGATCCTCCACAGAAGGTGGAGGTTGGTGGTCAGTGCTCACAGCCAGTTCTTGAAGCTGAGTGGCCTGGGTAAATCCCTCCCATTGACCTGTTCACAGCAACCAAGGCTCAAACACAAGAGGAGGGTATATTCAGCCCATACAAAGGGCACACCTCAAGTTTCCGGCTTGAGTAATACGGGAGGCTGTGCCAATGGACCACAGGACACCTACCACATTAGTCCACTCTACCCAGACGGGGTCATAGCAGCTCTACCTAATGCATAGAAATAAACACAGGGAGGCTGCCAAAAGGAAGAGAAACATGGCACCGATTAAAGAACATCAAAAATCCAGAAAAAGAGCTAAACAAAATGGAGATAAGCAAACTATCAGTTGCAGAGTTCAAAACACTGGTTATAAGGATTCTCTAGCACTTGGTGACGACCTCAGTGGCATAAAAAATTTAGTCAAAAATGAAGAATACTTTAATTGAAATAAAGCACAATTTATAGGCAAACAACAATAGATTGGGTGAATCTAAGAATCAAATCAGGGTAGCAAAAAACAACCAAACAGAACAACAAGAAGAAAAAATAATTTTAAAAAATGAGGATAGTATAAGGAGCCTCTGGGACAATGTCAAGCATTCCAACATTTGCACCATACGGGTACCAGAAGAAGAAGAGAAAGAGCAAGAAATTGGAAATCTATTTGAAAAAATAGAAGGTTTCTATTAGTGAAAGAAACCTTCACTAATTTGGTGAACTAAATAGGTATACAAGTTCAAGATATGCAGAGACTCCCAAACAACGTGGATGCAAAGACGCACATCATAATTAAAATGCCAAAGGCTAAAAATGAAGAGAGAACCTTAAAAACATCAGCGAAAAGCAGTTAGTTACCTGCAGGGGAGTTCCACAAGACTGTCAGCTGATTTCTCAAATTAAGCTTTGCATGCTAGAATGGATAGGCAAGAAATACTCAAAGTCATGAAAACCAGGGACCTACAGCCAAGATTGCTCTTCCCAGCAAAGCTATCATTTAGAATTACAGGGCAGATAAAATACATCTGAGACAAGAAAAACTAAAGGAGTTCATCGTCACCAAACCATTATCATAGAATATAAAGGAACTTATTTAAGAAAAAGTAGATCAAAACTATGAACAAGGAAATGCCAATGTCAACAATTGAATCTAAAAAACAAACTAATCAAACAAGAACAGAGACAGAATCATGCATGGGTACAGAGAGCCTTTTGATGGTTGTCAGGTTAGGGGTGTTATGTGAGGGAATGGGTGAAGAGGGGAGGGGATTAAGAAGTACAAATAGTTACAAAATAGCTGTGGAGATGCAAAGTACAGTACAGGAAATGGAGTAGCCAAAGAACTTATACAGGTGACCCATGGACATGAATAGTGGTTTGGGGATTGCATGAAGTATTAGGGGGTGCTGCATGGAGGGTGCGAAAGGGGAAAAAATTGGACAACTGTAATTGCTTAATCAGTAAAGTATATTTTAAGAAAAGAGCATATATAGAAAGAGTAGTTAACTTAAATAATACATATCTATAGAAGATTCTTACCTAGGCTGTATGTTCTTGGGCTGAGAGATGATGTGACTCCAGCCAAAGAGGAGGATGCACAATGAGGACTGTGAATGTTTTCAAGGCATTGATTTGCTCCTCCTTCTTAACTGCCCGGAACCGCTTGCAGAACTGAATGGCTGAGAAACAGAAACTCTTCCAGGTGGACAGCGCACTCCCAGTGTACTTGAAGGGTGGGGGAACCGAAGACATTCTGTACCAACAGACCATGGTGCTGTGTCTTGGAGGCACATCTGCAGTCTGTATTGTCTTAGTTGGGCTTCCTTCCCCCATGAGAAGGGAGAACAAGGAATCTTCAGGACCTGAAGGACTTGAGCAGACATCAATAAATGTACTGGATTCTTGGCGAGGGGTGGGCGGTGGAGATTCCTACCTAGAATATTTAGTCATAAAACAGGACTGAAAACAGGTATGTGATGTTAAGGACATAAAAGGTTTG